ATGTGCTGTATTTGCGGTGGACTTTCATTTCTCCCTAAAATCCAGCCATTTCGCCCCTTGCCAGGATCCAGTAATGGAGCCTACTCCGGCCCATCTGATCAGCCACTTCCGAAGGGCAGACAGGTTATTTAATCCCTTTATTAATGGGCTCCAGTCCTTAAACCACTATTTTTGTTATTAATCCCACAGTCACAGTCTTTGGTATGTACCTAGCCTTTTAAAACATACAATTCGTTGTTGAGTTGTAAAATAAATTTGTTACAACCAACATAAAAAAGCAGGAGAGAAAAGACTAGAAAACCGGAGGATGTACTGGGCATACCCACATATACCAGGCTGCCGTAAGCTTTGTATTTTGGGACATGCTTGTCTGCCTGTCTTCAGAAGGTGGAAGTACCTCCAGCGCTCCTCTTGTGGGTGTTTCCTGCCTGCCTCTCTATAAAAGCCTTGCTCAGTAGTTGTTGTTGCTGTTTTGTGGTGCTGGGGGTCGGACCTAGGACCTTATAGATGCTCAGCCAGCACTTTACCGTGAAGTACACCCCCAGCCTGTGTCTGTAGTGTGACCAGACTTGGTCGCCCCAGAGGATAAGGTCTAACTGCAGCTCGGCCTTCCCAGAGCTCTCACTGCTGCCCTGCCCAGCAAGTGAGTGGGGAGGGGCAAAGGCCCCTTTGTAGGTGTGCAAGGAGCATGGTGCGGGGGAATCGCAAGGTCATTCCAGAGCTCTGACCCACCCGCATCTCTGCTTGGGTGGGCAGAGGCCAGGTTCAGGGCCCATCGTTGCCCTGTCTCCGCCAGCCACTCACTGTAGCCCTGCTTTGTCCTCCTATGGAAAGCATTTTGGGCAGAGCACCAGCTCAGAAAACTTGTCCATCCTCTCTGAAGTGGTGAGCCAGTGCCCCGAAACCCTCACAGGGTCCAGTCATGCTGCTCCTGCTGCCAGAGCCCAATAGGCAGTTTCTCGCAGTTTCTCTGTCTTCTGAAATCCATAAACGTAAATTCCGTTTTTTAACATTCTTTTAACAGCTGGCCTCTGAAGTGTCTTTGGGGAGTGGGGGGTTGCAGTCACCGGTGGAGATCGGTGCCCTTGAAAATTGGTTCCTCTTTGGAAAACTGCTGACACGGGCTAATCAGGCCAGACCTAACTGGCTGTGTTTCTACCTGCTGACAGCCTCAGTTTGGGACAGGCTGAAATTAGCTCTCACCGCCTGGGAGAGGCATGCCTTCCTCTTTTTTTTTCTTCTATAGAAATGGGGTAATTTTATGCCTGTCGAATAATACAGCTTTATCATATAGAGATAGCCAATATTAAAAAAAATAGCAGCCTTACCACATCCCCGTCTTGGGAAATATACTGTGCTGATCTGAATAACCAGAGAACTGGGTAATGGGTAATCACTCCTTTGAAGGCCCCTGTAGACCCCCTTTGTGATTGGTGTTCTTTGGAAAAGCTATAGACAAACCCGTTGAATACAGGAATTGTGTTGGTTTTTAAGGAGGCCCAAGGGTGTGTGACAGACCAGCCTAGTGTCCAGGTGGCCCAGACCATGTAGCCTTGATGTTCTGCTGCTGTCTGTGCCTTCTGTGAGCAAGGAGACCTCAGAGCCTTGCGTTCCTGGGAGATGCATCTGTCTGTGCACTTAGGTTTTGTTGTCCGGGGCTGGTATCTCTTGGAAAGGGATGATTCCCTACCCATTCTGTTAGCTCACAACCGGCAGGAGCTGTTGTTTTGATCTCTGTGTCTTCCAGCCAGCCCCACCATGGCCCCCACAGCAGCAGCGTGGGGACCCAAGAAACACACTCCTGCCAAAGGTTGTGGTAAGTTTCAAAATGAAAGATCCAGGCCTGAGCACACCGTCACACTTCCTATTCTATAGAACCAGCCTTTTTAACTGTGCCTCATCTTGATTCTAAATTTAGGCTTCTCTTCCTTTTTTTTTTTTTCCTAACCAAAGATTACTATGCAGACATTTAAGGGAAAAACTGCTCAAAATAATTTTTCCCCCAGCTTCTATTTGGTTTCCTGCAATGCTTAGGTGACTCATTCTCTTCCAAGAAATTTTAAAGGAAAGAGATGCAGGCTGTATATTGGTTCACAAAGACTGCACTGTAAATTCTTTTTGTTCCCTGCCTAGAAACCCCTGGCTTCTTTATAGGGAATGGAAAGGCTCTGCAGCCATCATTGTCCTGTGCTCAGCCTCATCAGGTTTGTTGTTCCCAGTGATACATGTGGCCCCTGTCTTGGGGTGGGTGCAGCTTCCCAGCTCCTTCAGTCCCTCCTCCTGGGCTGCACTTTCCCCTGAAGGCACACAGTTAAAGTTTCCCAAACAGAGAAAGGGAGTCCTTTTATCTTCTACAAAAGGAGAGACCCTGGCCATTTCCTGCCTCTCCCAGTGGGTCCAAATGGCTCCTGGTGCATTTTAACTGAGCTGGTTACCCGTGTGTTCCCAGCCCAACCCACCCTCTGCCCGAGGGAGTGGTGGTCAGATCCCTTCAGCAGCCTGTTCAAACAAACAGGACTCTGTTGGAGTGGTCCTCCCAGCTAATCAGTACTTGGAAGGAAACATCTGCCTAGCCTAATTGCTATTTTATTGGTTAGGCCTTCCCTGCCTCCTCCCTCTCCCTTCTCCTGCTCTGAAGTCCCAGGATCAGCCTCAAGGTAGGGGATCAGAAGCTTTCTCCTTTAACCTCTGCATTTAGACAACAGGAGAGAGGATGGAAGCTGGCCTGGAGGCAGGAGGGCAGCGTGGTGGGATGTGATACTCATGGCCACTTCCTGACCCTCAGGCTAGCAGTGAGTCATTTCTCCCAGCTTCACCTCCTCGAGCCTCTGCTGCATCAGAGAAGCTCAGCTTTGCTCACCATGGCTGGAGCGAGGATGAGGTTATAGATGAAAGGTGTTCTTCCTCGTGGCTTCTCCTCCAGTGGTTGAGGTCGCTCAGTACCATTGACCCTGTGCTGTGAAGCCAGCCTCACAGCCCTACACTGCAGGGGGTTGTGTTGGAATCTGATATGGACCCTAGGAGCAGGCAAAAGAGCTTGTAGAACTCTAGAGTGGCAGAAAACAGAGACTCAGAAAGATTATAGCAAGTGTAGGAGATCTGGGGCTAATTTAGAATTCCTTCCCCCTGCTCCCAACTGCCTACCAGGTATAAGAACTCATGGCTATTCATGATGGAAGTCACAACTACGCTGAATACCTTAATAGAAAACAATGACCAGAGAATTCCTTAACAGAGAGGTGGCAAACTATTAAAAGGAAGATGTCTAATCAGCATATCTTTTAAATGCTCAAGTTTACTAAAACCAAAGGACTGCAAAATATGGTAGGATAGCACATGAAATTGTCAAGACAAAAGTGAAATTAGCATTCTCGCATGCCTCTGGCAGTATTTTTAATTGGCACAGTTTTTCTTAAGGGCAGTTTAATGATATAAATGAATTCTCATTGACCCAACAATGTTGCTTCTAATAGAAAGTAATGAAAGTTTTGTGCATAGATTATGTGGGAAGTAATTTAATACAGTTTAAAAAACAATCACAGAACTTTGTAAAGTCCAGAATAGGAACTACATCAATATATTGTACTAAAGTGTTATAGAGGAAAAACATGCATGGGAAAGCATTTGCAAAAGAGACATTTAAGGAAATTTAGCTTCTAAACAGTGTTTATAATGCAATCCTGACTTTGGAGAAATAATGAAAGAGAAATTAGAAAAACATATTGCAAGGTGATGTTTTCTTAGTGGTAGATATTTAAGGATTTTTTTCTCTTGATATTTGTGTAGTTTCCTTATTTTAGTAAGTATATATTACTTTTGAAATAAAAATAAGTTGGTTTTGGGGGGGGTACTGGGGATCGAACCCAGGACCTTGCGCTTGTGAGGCAGGCGGCAGAACCACTGAACTAAATCCCCGGCCCTAAAAATAAGTATTTTTAAGGTAAAGATATGTGCACCTTGAAAAAAACAAGAGCTGAAACGATTGTTTCTGAATGAAAAGCCTGTTCTTGCCTGGGAGCTGAGCACTGCCAGGGCAGTATCTTACCTTCTGACAGAGAAGGCTGTTGTTGGTGTTGAAATTTTCAGTAGTAAAGAACTAGAGGGAACTGGCAGAAGATAAAATGGGGGCTTCTTCTTTCAGAAGTCCAGTGGTGCCAACCAGTTTTAGCCCCTGTTCTCTTGGACTTGGTGTAATGTTCCGTATAACAGACACGACTGACTTCCTTCTTCCTCATCATCTGGGTCCCAACTGTTCTCTGTGGTTAGATACCCACCTTGGGTGACCAAAGCAAAGAATCTGAGAGTGAGCACTACTTAAGATTAACCAGGCAGAGGGACGGGGATTTAGCTCAGTGGTTCTGCCGCCTACCTCGAAAGTGCAAGGGCCTGAGTTCTGAGTTTGATCCCATACAAAAAAAAAAAAAGATTAACCAGGTGGAGACCACTTAGCCTATCAGGACCATGTAACCAAGCATCCAACACTTAGAGCCACTGCTCTGGGAGATGGGGTAGAAGTAAAGCAAGTAAGGAGTGTAATCCCCTCCTGTTTGGAATTGTCTGTTCAGCTAGGGACTTCAAAGACCTTGCATGTGTATATGCTTTTTCCTCGTTCACCCTCTTGCACATCCTCCTCTCCTTTGTAATCCTCTGGAATGTTTGCCTCCAAGTATCTGAGGACGCACGTTCCACCTAATAACAGTTGCTAGGTAGGATGTGGCTTTCAGACCTGCTCTTTGGGGACCAATTGAAAAATCAAACCCTATAACCCACACAGTTGCCTTTGTCAGGCTATAGAAAGGACACATTTCATTTTAGTAAAACTCTTTAAGTAATCTGATCATAATTGGGTCTGATCTGAGTGGTTATCTGATTTGCTGGGTTAAATAATGGGCCTTAATTGAATCTGTGTTATTTCTAGAGCCAGTGCTGCAGTTTCCTTTGTTTGCCCTGCCTCCCTCCTTCTGTTTTCCCAATTAACCTTCATTCTTATTTCTTTACAGAGTAAAGAAGTCGGCCAGCAGCTCCAAGATGATTTGATGAAGGTCCTGAATGAGCTCTACTCGGTAAATCAGTTGGGTTGCTTGACTCTAACAAGTAGAAGGAAGCAGCGTTTGGCAGCTTGCAGACACAGTCACGTCAGCAGCAGAACTGAGCTGAGGTTGTGGACAGTGCATGTTCCCCAGTGGGGTGACCCCACCCATCTCCTTTTCAGAACTGAATGAGCCAAGAAGTACTTTCTCAAAATAGTGTGCAAGCTCACTCTGGCCTCATTTGGGGCATTCTCCCAAGAGACCAGCCAAGACCTAGGTCACCAGAACATCGGACACCGTTAGTTAGCAACCAGGGACCCCAAGCAAAATGGCAAGGAACAGTGTTGCGCCATTAACATGTGCCTGTCGGAAAGAATTTGTGGTCCAAGTCTTGCATCAGGTCTTGGATTGATCCTGGCTTGAGCGGTAAACCGATTTCTAAGTGTCCAAACATGAGGGACCAGTTCAGGCAGAGAGCACTTTGCAGCAGCTTCCTAGAGTAGAAACCTCAGAGAGGAGGCAGGCTGTGGCCTGGAGGAGAGAACACAGCCCATCCTGGAGTGACTGGCACTTCATGTGGACTGAGGCGGGCTAGTGCTTCCCCAGCCATGTTTGGTTTATTGTCACTGAAAACAAATGCACACACATGCACACCAGGAAAATTTCTGTTGCCGTAAGGAGAATATTTCAGTGTCTTTTGGAGATGCCTTCCCAGCTTTGCTGTGTCAGCCCCGTGTGTCATTTTCCAGGGTTGGCCCGTTCTGTTTAGAGGTAAAACTGATTTTCTCTTTTCTCGCTTATCCCTCCCCTTGCCTTCTCCTTCCCTCCTGCTTGCTTGCTTGCTTCCTTCCTTCTCTCCCTTCATAGGAAGAGCAGCAGTGGCTGTGTGCTGCTCAGGCCTTTGGGATTAGAGAATTCCATTTTCTTAATCCAGAAGCCTAGGTGTGGCCATTCTGTTATGGCAACTGTACACAAGGCAGTCATCTCGTTTTTCTCCGTGGTGCTTGTTTTGTTTTGAGTTTCTGCTCTGTGACTCTTCTGCACTGGAGCCAAGTAGATAGATGGCACCCTTAGGTTCAGCTCCCACTTTTCATTTCTCTCAAGTTAAGACTGTTTTAAAAATAGAAGCAAATTGACACAACCATTTGCAGACTGGATTAGTTTCCTGAACTGTCTGTTCAGTGCTTATTTCTTTACTTTTAGAGCATCTTGTAGGCACGAAGATGAGCTATTACTCCTTTCTTCTGGCAGAGAATTCACTAAGATATAAATGACACATGTTATTATAGGAGTCCTTTTTATTTTCCTCTAAGCCTCTTGGGCCTCTGGTATTTGTAGCTGTTTCTGGGAAGAATTACATTGGCCAACCAGCAAACTCCAAAACAACTTAAACTCAAATCCAGATGCCAGCTCTTGCCCTGGAGCTGAGAGCCACAGGAAGAGTGGTGTCTGAGGATCTGTTAGCTTTTGCCCAGAGTCCGATCGCTTCATGAGCTGTGATCTAGGAGTAAGTGAGAGGGTGCAGGCTGTGTCTGAGCACAGCTGCGAGGCTCTTCCAGCTTCAGGCTGTCCAGCTGCTTTCTTGGCCACGAGGAGGCCATAGCCAGTGCAGAGCATAAAGCCTGAGAATGGGCTGAGTATGGTGTTCCTGCCAAGAAATGAGTTGGTACATGCTCATAATTTGTCCAAGGCTTAAATAAAAATTTGATATTTTCCTCTAGTAGGTGATAGGGAGAGAAAAAGAATAGAGCATACCAGAAAGTTTTAAAGAAGGCAGAACATTCTCATACAGGGTGACCTTTTTTGCCCCAAAGGGACACTTAGCGGTGTCTTCAGACATTTTTAGCAGTCACTTTGGAGGAGTGGAAGTTGTTGCTACTCTCATGAGCAGAGGCCAAGGATGCTGTTGAAACCCTACAGTGTGCAGAACAGTGCCCTGTGACGTGTGTAGTGACCATTCTCCTCAGTTATGCAACCTGGGCTCTGCCCTGTGTTGACCACTAGCAGTATAAACTTGGGGACACCCTCACTCCATGATCCTCTTGTCCCATGCTTTCCATGTGCTCCTATCTCTGTATCCTGGGGTAGGGTTGACAGGGGCAAGCCTACCTCGGAAATATCAGGCTGCGGTGAAGGATCAGCTGAGTTTTGATGTCTGTAGGACATTAGAAGGCTCACAGAATTAAAAGTTCTTCTGAAGGGCGGGATGAGCTTGGGTCCAAATAAAGACAGGACAGAACCGGAGTGACTGACTGTCCCTGGGTAGCCTGGGGCAGGAGACTTCCAGGGTGGAAACTGGGAAAGTCCTAGCGAGATGATTAGTCACCCTGCATGGGGCAGTGATCTCATCAAGTAGGAAGCTGGAACTCCTGTGTGCTGGCTTTGGGAAGCCGCTTGCTCTGCACTCTAAGGGAAGTTAGAAGTGGATAAGGGAGAGTTTCTTGTAAGGATCATCTCCTTTACTGAGTCTTCAGGAAAGCAGGGAAGGGCCTCTTCTTTCAGTGACCCTTTGGGCAATAGAATTTATCTTTGGGCACTAGAAAAAGGAAATTAAAGCTATAAGAAGCTCACCACCAATGTGCTGGTATATACTTGTAATCCCAGCCATTTGGGAAGCTAAGGCAGGAGGATCTCAAGTTCAAAGCCAACCTGGGCAATTTCATGAGACTCTCAAAATTTAAAAAAAAGCCAACCACTATGAGAGAACTCGTGTGGATGGCTCACCTTCATGACGTACAGTGCACTTGTTTTCCTACATTTACTTGGCCCAAACCTGCTCTGCAGAGCCTGTTTCCTTTCCTACTTTTAATAAAATTTGCTAGCATTAAAAAAAAGAAGCCGGGCGTGGTGGCGCATGCTTGTAATCCCAACCCTCAGGAGGCTGAGGCAGGAGGATCGCTGTGAGTTTGAGACCAGCCTGGGCTACATAGTGAGTTCCAGGTCAGTTTCAACTACATAGTGAGACCCTGTCTCAAAAAACCAAAAAGAGAAGAAGACTGAGTATATAGCTTAGTGGTAGAGCCCTGCCTACAGGCCCTGGGTTCAATCTTCAGTATCACTGCCACAAAACACACACCCACGTACCCCCACCACAGACTTGCCATATTTTCAGTGTTGTTCTTACATATCCCCCTTGGTGTCCGTGAACACTTCCTTCGAGGACTGATTACACAAGGGTTGGTAGTTTAAATGCTGTGGAGCACTGATGAGCTAAGGGCCAGAGCCCAGGTGTTTCCAAAGAAAAACCTCTTTGGACAAGAGGCCCAGAGTCTTCCCATAAGTGGCCAGCTGCCTCTTTGTACCTTTCTCCTCTCTGCCTGAAGAGCCTTTGATTTTCTTGACTTAGCACCATGTGCCAGAGGCCGTTTCCCACAGCTGCTGCAGAGAGAGCAGTCTTGGGCGGCACCTTCTCCAGCACGAGCAGGCTGGCCTGGAAGCCGTGGAGGAGGGAGTGTGCGTTTCCCACTGGTGCTCCAGGGGTGCTTCAGCAGGCAGCGCGCTTCTTCCCAAGGCGCTCCCGATTGTTAGAGGATGTGTCCTGAGCAGCCCAGGGAGCCTCCGTCATGTGCTGTATCTGCAGTCACAGGCACCACATGGGCCTGGCTGGATAGGAAGAGTCGGGGAAACCCTGGGCTAGATAGAGAATGAGGAGGCTTTGGAACACCAGGCTGCTGTCGCCCGGAGCTTTATGTCCTGGTACTACCCATGAGCGTGTGTCCCTGGACTTGCAGAGCTTCTTGAGACTGGTGTCCAGCACCTGTGCCCTCAGAACAGTGGCCCCCAGTGGTTCCTCAGCTCTGTCCTGGCACAAGGTGTCATGGATACAACCACATATCAGATGTTCCTAAGTGTAAGACATTTAGTTTTTAATACGGGGAGACAAGAAAAGCAGTACATAAACAAATCAGGTGATGAGAACTCACGTGTCTGCACAGAGAAAGGGCGTGAATCAGGCTCCTTGGAGAATTGCTTGGATTGAATCTTAATTGCCAGGAGCCCCTCCTCCTGGACCAGTTCTTATTTTATGACACAGTGTCTTTATTTCTCCCTCATCCCTCTGAGGCTACTATTGATAGACTGCTTTCAAAGTTTTCTTCTCTCTGTATACCTTGTTTCCTCCCAGTTGCTTGTTTTGGTCTTGGTCTTGGTCCTCCCCATTAGATGTTTTCCTTAAATGTCTGGTTATCCTTAGCTGCAGCTCCTGTTTTGAAATGAGGCACTAAACAGCTCTGGGTCAACCACAGCTTTCACCGGAGGGTGATCTGGCTGGGCTTTCAGGAAACTCCAGCACTGGTGTTTCTTTGCCTTTTATGCTGAGGTGCGGATCTTTTTTATTCTAATTTTTGGGACCTTGCGCTTGTGAGGCAGGCAGCATAACGACTGAGCTAATCCCTGGCCCTTACGCGACTCTTTCAATTCCTACTTCATCTAGGGGGCTGAGTTGTGAGGAAGTCTGGGCCTTCTCAGCATCCAGTACAGAACTTTGCTGTTGGTCCTCCTGTCATACTTCAGCACCCCATCAGCTGAGCCCCATGCTGTCAGTCCAGAGAAGCTTCCTGATAAACTTGTGGTCTTCTCATGTGCTGTCGCTTCTTGGCTCTCCCTCCTGGTCTAGAATTCCGTGGTGCATGACTGCTTGCTTGCCTACTGCTTGTCATAGTCGGCTTCCATTCTTTTTGTTTCCTCAGTTTACACTAAAAATAGTAACTGAAAACTCTTTTCTAACGTTTTAGTGTGGCCTGGGAGGGAGCAGAGCTAAATACATGAATTCAGTATTTAGTGCCTTACAGTAAAGTGAATAAAGCCAGTTTCTCTTTTCAAGACTCCCTTGACTATGCTTAACCTTTCTTTCCAGCCACAGTATTTCAGCTCCAGTCTTACGCAGAAGAAGTCACTGTTACTTCATGGCCAGAGTATGGATTTTGGAGTTTGTCACACCTAGGTTTGAATCCTGCTCCCATTTGGCCACATGGCTGAGCCCCATTTCCTCGTCTTTTGAATCGGAAATAGTAAACATATCTTTCCTAGAGTAGTGAGGACTGAGAGAGATGGTGAACAGAAGGCCCGCGGGCCCTAAGTGTCGGAACTGATACCGACTTGGCCCCTCGCTCTCCCCCCTTGTCCAGCAGTGCACACCACCCACCCTGCTCTCAGTGAAGTCTCGTGGCACCGGTGTGGCATTGCCCTCCCCTTCACACTGCTTGGTGAGTTAGCAGGCATTTTTAGTTCCCAGCTAGAGGCCCTTGCGTGGAAACAGAAAGCTCCAGCAGAGTTGGACGGGCACTGAGTGACTGGACGTAGTTTATTTGAGAGGAGTGGAAACAAGCTTGAGTTCTAGGCTTCCTGGCCTCCTTGCTAAGTTGTGGAATTAGATTCCTAGACAGTTGCTTTGATGGAAAATTTGAAAGTTGAGTCTTTCTCTCTTTATATTACTTCCTTCTTGTAGCGACTCTGGTTGCACTTGATGAAGATTTTATTCCTTCCCATCGTCTTACTGGAATTGTGCAGGTTCACAGTATTCATGGGATTGTTGCTTAGACAGTAGAATTGCCACATAAATAAAAGAAGTAAATGTGCGCTTGCCCTTGACACAAAGCCAGGAACATATTAGCTGCTCAGTAAAGGGCGGCTGCCGTTGCTATAACCACTGCTATTCTTGTTGCCACGAGAAGGTGTCTGATGTAGATAAAGGGGGCCAGTAGAGAGCTTTTAGAGCCTTTTCCTCCTCGTTTTATATCTGAAAGGTACAAGAAGTATATAGGCTACTGCAGAGCCTCCTCTGGGGGGCCCTAACCAGGGAGACCTGCCATCAGGGTCTGAGAGAGGCACCATTGTTTCCTGTCTACTCAGTATTGTGAGGTAACTGAGCAATTGGGCAAATATAAGAGTAATGATTTCAAGTTATAATAAATTAAAGAAAATAATACACAGTCATTTTAGTAAGAAGACACAGCGGTTTAGTTCCAGTACTGCTCTCCTGTGCTTTGGAGCAGTCTCTGATATGTACTGTTCGCTGAACCAGGCACTTGTGGATTTTTCCCTCAGGGCATGAGGATGTTGCTTCCCAGGGGAGAGGCCTGGCTGTGGCTTCCAGGCCGAGCTGACCCCACTAGCTTGACCTCGAGTGGGGTGGGGTGTCTTGCAGGTCATGAAGACGTATCACATGTACAATGCCGACAGCATCAGTGCTCAGAGCAAGCTGAAGGAGGCAGAGAAGCAAGAGGAGAAGCAGATTGGTAAATCCGTGAAGCAGGAGGACCGGCAGACCCCGCGCTCCCCGGATTCCACAGCCAATGTCCGCATCGAGGAGAAACATGTCCGGCGGAGCTCAGTGAAGAAGATTGAGAAGATGAAGGAGAAGGTGTGTATGCTCCAGCAAAACTGCAGAGGCAGGGAGGAATGTTCCAGACGGAAGGACTGAGGGGGTTTCCCAGTAGGCTCCTTGCAGAGCCACACAAGGAAGCTCTGGGGCTCTGTAGTGGGTTTCTGCCCTGGCTGGAGTCCTAGGTGTTGGAAGAACTTGACACCAAGCTTTTAACCTCTAGCAGGTAAGAACCAGTGGTGACCTTTCCCGGCCCATTTCCCCACTCAGGTGAAATATCCTAGTGCTTTAGGTGGGTGGGTATGCGTTCTGCTTGGTGTTAGGCATCAAGGTTCAGGGGCAGTCAGAGGTAGCAGTACTCCCTCCAGGGTGGCAGTGTGAAGATGGAGAAGGGTGTGTGAGGATAGAACCGAAGTGGGGCATGCCTGTGAAGTGGGAAGCTTCATTAACTTTCCCTGAAGTGATCTACATTATGCCCTTGAATCTCATTAATCAGAATTAGAACCCAATTTAAAGCTGATGCTCATGGGGACTAGCAGCACAGTTGTGGTTCTTGAATGAACTATACTTTCATTTCTTAGCAAACAAGCTCCCCTTTAAAAAAAGGAAAAGTGAACTTCTGTTTCCTTTTCAGCGCCAAGCAAAGTACACAGAGAATAAGCTGAAGGCCATTAAAGCCCGGAATGAGTACTTGCTGGCTTTGGAGGCGACCAATGCGTCTGTGTTCAAGTACTACATCCATGACCTGTCCGACCTGATTGATGTAAGTGCTGAGAGCCAAGGACCTGAGGACCCCTCTCCTGGATGCTCACACGGTCCGCCTCTCTGTGGTCCCGGTGTCCTAGGGCTATTGGAGAACAGTCTGTGGAGAGAGTAGCCGTGGTCCCTTAAGGCTGGCCATGTACTGAGCCCCGAGTGATGCGCTGAACACTTTGTTTCCTTTACTACTTAACCACAGTCCAGGGAAAATGGCATCGTTTCCACTTTTATTGGCTCACACTCAGTTCGGGTAACTTACCCAGAGCCAGTAAGTGACAGAGGCAAAGTGTGCACTCAGTCTGATTACTAACCCATGCTCACAGTCACTCTGTTCTTCTGTCTCCCGGGAAATGCTCCTTTTACCCACAGCTTGGACAGCGAGATGACGACAAGGACCAGAGTTGGGGAACCATACTCGACTTGTGCATAGCAGTGGGTGTTTCTCAGGAGCCTCTTGTTCCATAAGCAGTGTCGCCTGCAGTTTGTAGATGAGGGTTAAGAAATGTAACTACACTGGGTGTGTAGATTTGCAGTGCAGTCAAGAAGGTGTCCAGATGCCGCTGACATCTGGCCTGTCCTTGCCGAGGCGTGACACAAAGACAACTGGCTGAGAGAAGCGGTTTGTGGGAGGTGTGTTTGCCTGGACCAGGGACAGCCTTTTGTCTTTAGCCTTTGGGTCAGACTCAGCCTCCTTGACCTGTTGCCTCTCTTGAGACCATATAGTTGGTCTTCTGAGCCTTCTCCCATGCAGGTCCCAAGCTGCCTGAGTGCGAAGCCAGTTTCAAGTGAAGCTACATAAGTGTAACTCTCATGAAGTGGTTGCACCTTGGGGCCACAGTCCAAACGAGAGAAATCAGACACACTTGTGTCTCTGGTGTGAGAAACTGAAATGGTAATCAGCATCAAAGTGTAAATGGGAAGAAAATGTTCAAATCAGTAGAGGAACGGGGGGCAGTAAGGAAAAAGGGAGTAGAAGGAAAAAATGGAAATAAAGCTTACTTAAATAAGGAGGGAAGAGGAGGATAGGAAAAAAAAATCAAGATATATCACCTACAGATACAAATTCCCTATGTGAGTGGTATCGTTTATATCTAAAATGTGCTGATGAAGTTCTGTACCCTTCACTTGTCAGAGTGAGGACTCGAGCCAGTGCACGAAACATTGGCACCCTACTGTCTAGGGCCCGGGTGAACCCCAGCATCCTTCCTGGGCTTGACACTTCCTCAGCTCCTCAGCAGTGGTGGTGGCGGCAGCTGGGCTTTGCAAGTCTCTGGTCACACTGTGCCCGCTGGCCTGCCTTGGTTTCTCTACAAGCAAACCCACCATGCTTCACACCCGTGTGGTCGAAGATTCACTGTAGAGTAACCAGCGGGGCATCTGGGCTTGGCCTCCCTCTGCTCTGGAGCTCTGCTTTGTTTCCCACTCCTTTGCCCTCAGCACAGTAAAGACTAAGACTAGAACCTTGGTGCTTACATCTGGCCCATGTCAGAGTTGCTTGAGGAACTTTACTGAAGTACAGATTTCTTTCTCCCTTCAGATGTGGAGTTTGACTCAGTAGGTTCTGCCCTCTCGGTGCCCCCAAGTGCCGGTCTCACTGGGTAAGTGGAGCTTGGGTCCCTGTTCAGGTGTCTTTATTCTGGCTGCTGTTGATGCCAATCTGAACATTGTCCCTCAGTGAAGGTCAACGCCCCAAACAAGATCCTTTCTCCTGCTCAGCACAGTTCCTCACTGTTGAGAAAGAGGCCCGTTTTCCACCTGTGGAGGAGAATCGGTTCTTTCTTAGGCTCAATCTCTACTATTATCTAAGACTTAGTTAAAAAAGAAAGAATCAGACCATGCAGTGTGCCACACCTCTTCCACCGTTTGTCCTCTTCCTCTTTCTCAGGCAACTTTCCTGCTATTTCACCAGGGAAGGAAGGGCCTACTGCTGAACTGTTCACAATTTACGTAACCTTCACATCCTTCATCAGGTGTGAGCGTGTGTTTAAAATCAGCATAAGAACCTATTTTTATCTTCCTCTTCTTTTTTTTTTTTTTTTTTTTTTTTTTTTTTTTTTTTTTTTTTTTTTTTTTTTTTTTTTTTTTTTTTTTTTTTTTTGGTACGTATTTGTCATGCATACTGATCATACCCATCATAGGAAATTGGTACCTGTACGTAATACATCTGGATTTTTTTCCTCACCCCCTTCTCTTAAAACCCTTCGGAAGCTGTTTATTTTCATTGTCTTGAAGAAGAAAAAGAAGGTCTGTCGGCTAACTTCACAGGATGTGGTTGAAGTGCCGTTGAAACAGAGGACAGCAGCCTCCTTGGCACCCAGCTGGGCATGGGCTGGGACTGTGAGCAGGTCCAGGGTGGCGGCTTTCCAAGCCACAGCGGCAGTAAACTTGCTCTTCTTTCTTTGCTGTTGTGTTTTGGTTGTATCTTGTTTATTCTGCTTGTTGTTCGTTTTGTTTTGTTTTTTGTAGGGTGAGCACAGGCTAATTACTCTTTTTATAAAAAGCTAATGCTACTCAGCTCTAAATGTTCAGTAAATATTGATTTGGGGAGGCTAAATGCTAAGCATAGGGGTACACATTTGTAGTAGTTTTGTCTGAGAAGTATTTATAGGCTCGAGGCATTTCAAACTGTGGCTCATAATCCATTCAGGGAGGCATGAAATTTCATTTACAGGTTTGACCTTTTTTTTTTTTTAATAGATGACTACACTAGACTAGGAAAGAAAATAGGGTATATCAAAGTAGTATAGTTAAATTTTATTTTGTGAAACTTGTAGGTGTATACATGCGTGTTTGCATACCCCATGCATGGTGGGGGGGGAATATATTCCTTAGTATGAGTTGAGAGCCACAGACCTCAGAACAGAGGACAGGAGGGTCTCTTAGTCTTCTCTTTCAGCTTCAGACAGGCAAGAACTAGGACTTACTTCGCCTTAGAAGCCCCCCGTGATTAATATATATCTGAGCACAGTATATTTGGGGGGGGGGCTAGAAAGAAGATGATAGTCACATAAGCCAAGATTTTCTTTCCATTTGGGGCCATTTAGATTCTAAATTTATCTGACTTTGCTGTTTAGTATTCTTTTGCTGTATAATTTACATATAAGAACTAAATGTGTGTTACAGCTTGAAGAATTTCAACAAATTTCTGTGCCTTTGTAACCTACGTCTTTATCAAGATACAGAGTAAATACCTCGATGAAAGATGTATTCTCATTGCCCTGGAGAGTTCTCGTCTCTTCCCCGTCAATCCCCCACTCCTGGCAGCCAATACCCTGACCTTTCACCGTAAATTAGTGCTGCCTATTGTAGAACTTCCGGGATAATACAACATTTATGTTTTTTGTGTTTTGTTTCTGTTGCTTACTATGTTTTTGAGCTTCCTCTAGGCTATTTTCATGTATCATTAGTTTCTTCTCTTTTTTTGCTGTTCTGTGCAATAAGAAGGACTCTAAATGTGCCTTTGTAACGGACCAGTGAGAGCAGGATCAAGTGCGGAGCCTGGGATGTTGGCATCTGGGTCTGGCCATGTCTTTGTGCTTATTCTAGTCCATTGTCATCTGTGTTGTTTGTGGCTTTTTGCCTCCTTCCTAGGGAGCTGAAGCTCCGTGCATGTTTACGGTATTGAGGTTCAATGAAAGGAAGTTACTTCTGTACATAGCATTAAACTCAGACTAGGAAGCCATGCAATCCTCTGACACACACCAGGTAGACCCTGACTCCAGGCCAGAAAGACATTCTGAACTCCCTTGACAGTGTCCACAAACCGGAGGCCCGTTGGGGTATAATTTTCCTCCCCTGTGTTCTTTGGCTCTCTCAGTCTGGGAGCAGGTGGATGAATGAAGGACAGGCCACTGTCTTCATGGATAGCTGGAGTGCTGTGAGTGTCATGTACACAGGGATTGTGTGCCCAAGTCAGGGATGAGGGACCTTGGCTTCCCCAGCAGGAAATTGATTAAGGCCACTTACTTATCTCTTCCATGTCAACTTGAAGTAGGTGTTGTGAAACACCCATTTTAATTTGTAGATCTTCTCTAGAGTCTCTTTAAGTGAGAATATCATCCAGAAAAGGGTTAATGAGCTATCAACACAAGTTACACATCTGGATGGGCTGTCATTAAATTCTTATAAGAATTTGATTTCCCCTGAGAACGTTTTCACCAAACATTTGTATAACTCAGAGATGGCCAGGGGAGCCCAGGGTGGCCATAGAACTCATCAGAAGCTATAGAAAGCACACTTTGTCCCCAGTGTGAACAAAATAACTAATGCGCTGCCTCTGCTCTCGGGAGTCTCCAGAATAGGACGAAATGTTCAAATCTCATTTATCTGACTTCGCCAGATATTGCTTCTCTGCTAAAGTCTCCATTTCTGGCTATTGTCCTGCCAGTATGTAGATGGCCAAGGATCTGGAAAACCTATTTCAAATCTCCTGGGTTGACCAGAGACACGGGAGAGTCAGGGAATACTGTGAGATCCCTATTCACTGGCACAGAGTGGCTACAGAATAGTCATATAAATAGGCCTGGTGCTCTGGCCTGGAAAGCTCCCTGCTTTGAGCAAAACAAAAGCTTCAGGTCTGCACCTACCAACTGGACTTACATCACTATTCAGCCTGTGTAGGTTGCTTTCTGATGAGGCTATTTTCATGAGCTTTATTGAATACCTACTATGAGCAAGACCTAATGGGGAGGGACTGAAACAGGGCTCACATGCAGGCTGAGCTCTCACGGAGCTCCCGTTCTGGTTGCAGTGACAGGAAATGGAAGCCACACAATTGGGGGCGGGCGGATCCTGTGTCCGGGCTGGAGGTGCGCATGGTTATGAGGCTGGAAATTTGATTAAGATGTCGAAGATTAGGTCTGATCCCAAAAGGTGAGAGGAGTGGGATTTCTGGAAAGAAGAGCTAGGAGCACCAGGGTAGGGGCTGATGGGTTTAGGGGGCGACGAATGGTCTTTGTTAGATGTCTACACAGTGTCAGATAAGTGTACTGTGTCACTTGTTAGCAGCTCGCAGAAGTCTGAGGTCGAGGGATAAGTAGCTTATTTATGGTCACTCAGTTGATTGGGGGCCTGTGCTTTTGTGATGCCCTGCTTGAGTATGGCATTGGACTGGAGCAGAAGAGGCCGAAGGAAAGAGCTCATGTTGAGTGGGCAGATTGCACACAGACTAGCATTGGTTCTACAGTTTGGCTTTGCTCACATTAGTTACCTTCGCTGAGCCTCAGCTTCTTAGTCTGGAAAACTAAGAAAATACCAACATTACTGGGGTAAATTCTGAGGATTAGAAATGTAGAATGCACATGCTACACTGAGTACACTGGTGTACAGCAAATACACTCAGAGAATCGAAGTGTTTCTCTGAGCTTCCAATACTGAGGGAGGGAGGGTTTCCCCTGGGAGTGGGGGAAGAGAGACATAGTTAAGGTTCTTTATCGAGGACACAGCAAAAGTCACATTTGAGGACAGTAAAGCAAAGTGCAGTGGTGTAAGGAAGGGCTATGAATTAAAATAGAGATAGTGAGAGTGGAGAGGAAAGGAGTTTCCAGAATTGCTAATGGTTTCTGAAGGGGATCCTGCCCGCTGCAGCTCTCCTCCCATGCACAGTGTGGGCAGCATCACTTTCGTTCAGGTGACTTAGAGACGGCGCTCATCACCAGGGCCTGTAGCAAGCTGGTCAGGAGGTGCGCAGGCCCAAGGGCAGCCTGGCCAGTTCAATGGCGCCTCTGGAGAAGGATGTACGTGCAGTCTCCCAATCAGCCGCTTTTGTCCGGTTTCCATTTGCTCTTCCTACCCCATGGAATTTAATGTCTTTCCATCCTCTGGCTTAGCTAACTGTAACTGCTGTTATTCTGTGGAAGCTAAGCACCTGCCAGAGCCTATTGGCACTGAACCCAGAGCCCAGCCCAGCAGGTGCTCTGTCGCTGAGCTTCTTGTCAGATGCCTAGAAGGAGGAGGCCTGTCATGTGCTCTTTCTTCCCCAATAGTGGCTGTTCCCGGTGTGATTGTGAGGGGAGGGAAAGGCTGAGGGAGAGTTAATTTGATGCTTGCTTTTGCGGTGAGATGACAATCAGGCAGATGGCTTTACTATAGCCATAGATTTAGCTCTGATGTTTCTTCTCAGGATCTGGACCAAAACACTGCTACGCAATTAAGGGGATAGTAGATGGCCAGAGAATTTGGATCTCTGGGTCCTTTAGGAGGAGTAAGAAATATTGTCTTAGAATTACAGAGCACCATTGCTGAGGAAGGGTCTAGGGCTTGTGTTTAACACAGTGATGTTCAGACTTCTGCTCCACAGAAGAAATTGTTCTTTAAACCAGACTGTACACAGAATCATAGGAAAATGTCTTGGTTGAGAGAGAGCTCCATATCCTGCTATTTGGGCTGCCCTTCTGCTGCCTTCTCAAGGGCAGCCTGAGTGTGGCACCGAACTGACAGCTCTGAGCTGCCCCTGAGAACCACCAGCCAGGCTGACACTGTTCATTTTGCTGTCGAAGGAGCAGGTTTAGGTTGGTTTGCTCTACCTCTAGTGGTGGTTTTGTTTTTGTTTTTGTTTTTATATACAGTTGCCTCTTTTATACCTCTCCTCCCCTCCCCTCCCCTC